ACATGTTATCTACCTTGAGTACACAAGGCCCAATTTGATCAAAACCAAGTTCTTCAAGCACCATTCTAAGCCAAATAGCATGATTCGCTGCTGCCCCATCTGCTAAATACTCAGCCTCAGCTGTGGACTGAGCTACAACATCTTGCTTCTTTGAATTCCAAGAGAAACTCCCTGAACCAAAGGAGAACACATAACTTGTTGTGCTTATCATATCCTCCATAGAACCTGCCCAATCACTATCAGCATACCCCTATAACCTTCCTTGTTGATTACTGTCAAACCACAAGCCAAGTTCATAGGTTCCTTTGATGTACCTAAGAACTCTCTTGGCTGCAACTAAATGAAGTTTACTAGGAGCTGACATAAACCTTGACAAATAGCTTGCTGCAAACATCAAATCAGGTCTTGTAGCAGTTAAATAAAGCAGGCTACCAATTAAACTTCGGTAGTAGGAGGAATCAACCTTGGTTTCTTGATCATCCTTGGAAAGCTTTTCATTTTGAACCAGTGGAGTGGCAACTGGTTTGCTATTCTCCATTTCAAACTTCTTCAAGATATCCAGTGCATACTTTCTCTGGCAAATAAAAATTCCCTTGCTCAATTGTTGAACTTCAAGTCCCAGAAAATATTTTGTCTCTCCCAAATCTGTCATTGCAAACTCTTGCATCATAACCTTCTTGAATTGCTCCAACAACTTCAAATCATTTCCAGTTAACAATAAGTCATCCACATAAAGTGACAAAATAAGTTGCGATTCACTGCTGCTGCCTTTCACATATAAAGTTGCTTCTTTTGTGCTCCTCCTGAAGCCTTGACTCATCAAGTAGTGATCAATTCTGCAATACCAGGCCCTTGGCGCCTGTTTTAGACCATACAAAGCCTTGTTAATCTTATAAACACAATCTTCCTTCCTTGTAATCTCAAAGCCAGGTGGTTGTTCAACATAAATTTCCTCTTGCAAAACACCATTAAGGAAAGCTGATTTTACATCCATATGAAACAACTTCCAACCCAAATTAGCAGCTAATGCAATTAGAAGCCTTACTGTATCATGTCTGGCCACTGGAGCATAAGTCTCTCCATAATCGACTCCCGGCTGTTGAGCATACCCCTTCACAACAAGTCTGGCCTTATGTTTGTGTATAGACCCATCTGGATTTAGCTTAGTTCGAAACACTCACTTCACTCCAATAGGCTTCTTATCATCTGGTTTTGGAACAAGACACCAAGTTTGATTTTTTTTAATCATAGATAGCTCCTCCTTCATGGCATCAATCTAAACCTGTTGCTTAGCTGCTTCTTCAAAACAATTAGGTTCTGCAGAAGCTAGATTACATCTTGCATAAATCTCAGCTAGTGACTTGGTTTTCAAAACCGGTGAATCATCATCAACTTCTGCAATTTCAGAACTGGAAACAACATCTGAACTAGCTTCACACTGCTTATTTGAACCTTTTTCTATCTTCCCTGCATCCCAATTCCAGTGTGCACTCTCATCAAAAACAACATCTTTATGCACATTTACCTTCTTGGATATAGGATCATACACCTTATAGCCTTTTGCTTGTGTTGCATAGCCTATAAAGATCCCAATTTCTGCCTTCTCATCTAATTTTCCTCTTTTAGCTGTTGGAACATGATTATAACAAATTGAACCAAACACCTTCAAGTGATCAGCTGATGGTTTTTGACCATACCAAGCCTCAAGAGGTGTCATGCCTTTTACCGCCTTTGTTGGTAGACCATTTAAGAGATAGACAGCTGTATAAACTGCTTCAGCCTAAAAATATTTAGGCAATTTCTTCTCTGCTAACATGCACCTTGCCATCTCCATAACGGTTCTATTTTTCCTCTCTGCAATGCCATTCTGCTGTGGAGTATAAGACACTGTCAATTGATGATCAACACCAGCTTATTCACAAAACAAATTAAAATCATTGGAGGTATACTCCTTGCCATTATCTGATATGAGCTTCTTAATTCTGCATCCACTTTGGTTTTCAACCAAAGCTTTGAATTTTTTGAACACAGGCAAGGCTTGACCTTTGTATACCCATGTCATTCTTGTAAAGTCATCAATAAAGAGGATGAAATATCTGTTTTGGCTGAGAGATGGTGTTCTCATAGGACCACAAATATCCGTATGCACCAATTCAAGCTTCTGAGTTGCTCTAAAAGATTTATTCACAAGAAAAGGCAACTTATGCATCTTGCCTAATTGACAACTTTCACAAACACTGTCAGTTAAATGCAATTCTGGCAAATCTCGAACAAACTCATGTGTTTGCATAAATTTTAGGCCTTTGACATTGAAATGACCATATCCTTTATGCCATAAATCTGCATCCACAATTTTAGAAGTAGAAAAACAATGCTGCACCTTTTCCAAATCCAAAGGAAAGCTATTTTCTACCATTTTCACCCTAGTTATCTCATCACCAGTAGGGTCATAAATAAAACAAGAATCATGCACAAAAGATAGAGTGTATCCCTTGTTCATCATTTGTGCAACAAAAAGCAAATTCTGGCTCAAGCTAGGAATAAATAGGACATCAGTAATTTTCTTTGTACCTGTTTTAGTTTGAATAACAGCAGTACCTTTCCCTTGTGATCTCACCACAATACCATTTCCTAACTTGACATTTGTAATAACTGATT